GAGACTATAAGGATTATCATTCCACCTTTCTAGAAATTTCTGTTGCTGTTCAGTCTCTGTTACATTACCTAGCTTTCTTTTTTTCAGTACCAAGTGACAGCACTTCTGTCATTCCTCTGTGTGCAGCATAATGTACATCACTGACAGAAAGATTTTGCTACAGCACATAAATTTTCTCTTCTGAGTTTTGTCCCTTCACTTCTCTGTGTTGAAAAAATTCTACACTCCCCGTTTTGCTATTGAAGCTCTTCAGTTATCTGTAGGCTGTTATCCTGTCTCTCTTTTTTCATCTCTTATCCAAGCTAAGCATATGTTAGGTTTTTTTAATCTTTACTTATAACTTGGAAATTCCTAGACCCAAGACAGTTTTTCTTGCTTTTCTGTAAGCTTCCTCTATTATTTTTATCTTTATCTATTGACATAATGCCCAGGACAAAATTGTGTTGTAGAAGTGTCATATTTTCAACATCCAGTTATATGCAGAGGTCTAACAATTTTAACCCACAGCACATGATTATTCTACTAATGAAAATTTCTTTGGGCTTTCAGATAGTCTCATCACACCTAGAATCTCATTGGTATTCTGCCAGTCCCTTACCCCTTTTTCCATTCCTGCTTTAATGCTTCTTTCATCTATTTAATTATATATGTATTGAAATTACAAAAAAATCCTAACTGATCACAATACCCAACTGAATTCTTTTAGCTGTCATTTATATACCCAATGTTTTTTGGGCTACTGCTTATTATTTCTGATATGATGGGTGGTATTTATATATCCCAAGTTGTCATGGACCCTGAATTTCATTTAGTTGCAGTTTAATATTTAAATAAAACTTAAAGTGAATGCAGATTAAACAATTTAAGGTAATATACTCAAATAGTGATCTATCACATTACAGATAATTGATATTTCATTATTTATTTTTCTTTGCAATATTTCTCTTTAAAAAATTGCACTGTTCTAAGTCACTAGGTACTAGAGTAAGCGATATGCTTTACATCAGCAAAATGTGAGTTGAAACAAATGAAAGTATTTTTATAAAGCTCCTCTATCACCTAGTTATTTTTCCCTCTCAACCAAAATAAAAAAAATCAATAGGATTTTTTGAGGAAATGTCTCTTGTGCACAAAGGCGCAATGATCAGAACCCATTAAACCTCAAATGCCTAATTTTGGTTGTGCTGATCTTATATTGCCATTACCTTTTTTGTCTTGCACCTTATCAATTGTCTGTGTTTTAGCATTCGTTAAAGTCAATCCTTGAGTTTTATCTCTTTAGTATTTAGCCTTAATTCTCCTATGTAGTTTTAAAGCAGTCTTCCTCTATAACATACACACTTTTAAATGTCTTACCTTGCTCATTTCCTGGCTTAAATTACATGATCATAACATCAAGAACAAGCATTTCCCATGATAGGCAGGAGAAATATTCCCCTCCCTGTAATTTTTAAGGCCAAAAATTACATCCCAAGTCCTAAGCTTCACAGCCTCCTTAGCACCCTGCCACCTCCCGTCCCTTCCGAGCGCGCTGTCACACGGGTATCTCCAGCAGCACAGGACAGCTGTCCAACTCTTTTATTCATGGCACAACAGTCTGAAGCCACTGCAGTTGTCTGCTCCATGGCTCAGCTCCTGTTACCCTGACAAGGACGACCTGCTGTCGCTCACGTGTGCAATAGCACTCCATCAAGCACTGCCACCTCCTGTGCTGCAGCAGGAGCCAGCTCAGCCTCTGCTGCTGTCCTGCTCTCTTTGCATGGAGATGAGCTCTCTTCCATGGCACTGCTCTGGGAGAGCTCCTGCGGGACACACAGCCTTGCTGTCCAGCCAGAGTGAGTGTCCATAGTTCTTTGAGCTCCTAAGAAGTCAGTGTGGATTATGGATGAGTCTTACAAGCTTGAATCTTATAATTTTACAAACTGAATATTTCCATTCAGTCTCTTCTATCCTACATTATATCCAAATGAAGCTATTCTTGAGAAAACCCAGACAGTGTTAGCAAAGATATATCCTTTCACACATTTCCTGCCTTCAAAAATATAACCTGGAATACACTTCTCTGCTGGAAAGAATATTCAGGGAGACATATAAGTCAAAATGTATTCCCTGACAGTGAATATGGACAATATCAATGTCTAGTACTGAGCTGCCAGGCAGGCCTGTTCAGGAGCTTCTGAAAAATAATCCTGCTTTGTCCTATCTCAACAAGTAAGTTCTCCCTAACTTTTCAAGGAAGGAAATGCCTCCTAGGATTAGTGCACTTATCCATGGTCTGTCTTGCAGGCACTCTGAGCAGTCAAATAAACCACCCTCAGTTGCTTCAAACTGCTAGACCATGACTGGAAGATCTAGACAGCTGTCCTAATACCAGTATTTCAAGAGTGCTCCTCTGTGTATCCCAATCTCACAAGAAATGTCAGGCTTTATGTCCCAGATATTTGGGTTTGTCTTGGGAAATTTACTGATTTTTTCTGGTTGGAGACATTTTTCCCATTTCTTCTCTTCTTCAAATAATTTCTTCCATGTTAAGGACAGAGCTCAGACTATGCAGGTGGCCTTAGAAAAAGATTAGCTGTTGCTCTCCTATTTATAAAAAAAATTGCACACTGAGCATTGGTGTGTGAAAGAGTGATGTCTGCCTATAAAAGGAAACAATATTTTCTTAGGGCTTTTGCCAAAAGTGACCTCCCCTTGGGGAGTACCAAAAAATTTTCATTTCAAGACAGATAGATGGGGTCTCATTCACTATTTTCTTAAGCTTTATAGACTTACAGATGTACCTGGGAGCAGTTCTGTGTCCAGAAGTTCTGTCTGTAAGAGGATTTTCTGCTAGGTATGTTTTCTTGGGTACTATACATGGAGAGCCAATGAAAGGAGGAAGAATGGATGTTTGTTTGCAGCTTTTCCTATAAATTGATCTGGTTTAGACAATACATCTCGAATAATTCTGCCTATACCTCTCCCTTCTATACTCTAATTGAATATGTAGATTCTTAAAATGAGAGGAGCTGAAACAACATGCCTAATTTAAGATTATGTGCAGCACATGGATAGAGAAGGAAGGGATGTCTCTAAAGATTAAGTAAAATTAAAATAAATTAAGAAAAATACTAACAGTGCTAATGGTGATGACATAATAGTTTTCACACTGTTAACACAATGAAGGTGAACACAATGAAATTGGAAGAACTGCTACAGTTCTGCTTTTGTCAATTTATTCAATTCCCATTTTCATGGAAGCCACAAGGAATTCTGCCATTAGTACCAGCAAGAGTAGTGCTGGTCTTGCAGTGTTTACTGTGGACTTTAATCCTGTTCATGTTTCAGATGTTTCCTGCTTATGTTTCAGAATAGGCATACTGAGCCTGTGCATGAAGCTAATCACCTGTGTGAAGGCTTCCAGACAGACTATCAGATTCTGGTCCTACAAATATTCGTGTTTGAACTTCAAACACAACAGTGTTCATACTTAATATGTTTTCTGTACTTTCAAAGCCTCCTGGTGAAGGAGGCCATCCTCTACACAGTGCTTTGAATTAAGGCCTGTACTTTTTCCCTGGCTCATACTGAGATGTGCAGGGTACTCAGGCAAAGTTAATCTTCCTAAGGGGAAATAAAAGCCAAGTTACTTTCTCATGCTTTGAACTCATTTATTTGTGTGTTGCTGTGTATTTAATTTTGGAAGAAATTATAATTAATTAAACATGCAAAGCCTAACAGAGTAATTTTGCTGCTCCTGAGAGAGTATCTTAGGGGAATGATATTTCTAATAAATGGTTTATATATTTTTCATAATTTTAAAGTCAAGCAAATTTGGAACAAAGAGATTGAAATTACAAATATGGCTAGATAATAATATTGTATTCAAGAAAATGTGCCTGTTCAACTATGTAAAAGGATACATGTGCCTTTAGCAAATAATTTCTGAGACTTCAATTAAAGCTGTAAACTGGTAATGATGCCTGTCAATTGATGAAATAACTTTTTCATCTACAGATAGGATTTTTTTGTGATTTTGATTGAACAAAATGTCCCCAGACGAGCACACCATCTTATTTGTTCCTTTTCTTTACTCTTCAGGTCTTCCAGAGCTATTGGCATTCTTAGTACCAAGTAGAAATATTTTATTTGTGAATATGACATATACTCCTTTCTACCATTGCTTCCTCCTACAGAAGTAAACAAAGACAGTGCTTATCATTCCATTCCCTCTAAATTAAATACATAAATAACTCTAATTAGAGATTGAAAAAGCAATCTTTATTCTTATTCTCATTGGTTTGAATAAAATGAGGTGTCATAGGAGTGGCTCTCTAGGCTTTATAATCTCCTGAATATACTTGTTGTTGAATGGTATTTTGTTCTTATTGCCTACTGCTCACAAATGGCTTTCTCAATTTCATCCCACCTAGTTTTTGAGAAACACTATCAAGGTATGAAGAGACTAACAATGAAAAGGAAATTAGTAGCTGGCGGCAATTGAATCAGAAAAAATATTAATCTGTTATGACTACAAATAGTAGCATCAAATGTGAAAATAGACTTTCAAATTAATTAGCATTTAAGGGAAATGGGTTTGGATAGTTATCACATTGCTTTTAAGCAGCTATATTTACAGGTACATCTGTGCTTTCTATTCCTCGCTAGAGAAAAAAAAAAAGAAACAAATAGACATTTCTAGTTTTCAAATTGTTCGATGTTCCTACTTCTTGACAACTAAAGGCTCAGGAAATCAAAACAAAACAAACCAAAACAACATAAAACAATGGTATTTTACTGTTCCTCACAGGTCCAGTGAAAGGTACATATTCTTCACAAAGGCAAAGTTCTGTTTATTGATCCTATATATGTGTGGCAATAAGCATACTCTTCTCCATCTCCCTTGTTGTTATCTTGCCAAAATCCTTTCGGACACCTCTTTGTGAGGTGCAACCCACTGCAGCTACAAATGGATGTAAAGAGACCAGATCTGGCACACTCCTCATCACCATCCATACCTCAAGCCTTATTTCACATACCTTTTCTCTTTTTTCCCCTCTACACCTGTATAGTGCTTCCAAAGTGGCTGGTATAAGTCATCAGGGTCACAGAACATGTGCATCAACTTCTTGAGACTTCAAGGTTTTCAAATAATCTGAACACCAGGAGGACTAAACCTTTTATTATATCTCATTTCCCCTTGAGCATTCCAACTTGGCAAAAAAAGAAATAAACAAATCATTCTTTATTGTCTTCTTCCTGCAAGGATGGTAATAACTGCAAAGAGAAAAATATAACTTCAGGCAGCTACACTGCTGCTATGATAAATGAGTAATCTTTGCACATTTGCATCTACTTTCTTTAATATTTTTCACATACAGATACTTCATGGATTGGAAGAATGATGTGGACAGCTACTTTACAATAGACGCTACTGAAGGAACCATTGCTACTAATGAATTACTGGACAGAGAAAGCACAGCACAATACAATTTCTCTATAATTGCAAGTAAAGTTAGTAAGTATGACACAAACTAAATTAATATGCTAATATGGTGTTTTTCTCAGAATGTAATGCTCAGGTATAAATATAATGTGAAGAGTGCTTGAATTGCCAAGAGTTTATTTAAGAAGGTTCAATGAATATCATTTCCCCAGACTCGTGAGGACAATTATGATGTTCAAACAGCCTTGTTTAGTAAGTTTTTGCTGGCAGACCTGATGTAACCACAATTGCCTTAGAAGCTAAAAAAAGTTTTGTCAGCATGTTGAGCATGAGGATCTGTATGAGTGATTTCCAGTTCTGATTTCTGATTTTGTAAGTCACTTCATATGAAATTAAATTAGTCAAATAACAGATCTGTCAATGTGCTGTTTGAAGGCAGAAAAAATGTAAAGGGTCATTTGATACTTAGATAAAAAGTACACTAAATTTAAGTCAAGATCTAATGCCTTAAAAGAACTAATCTGTGTACTGCATCACTCCTCTTGTCTCTTCTCGCTGCCCAAAATTTTGTGCCTAACCCCTCCTGTGTGATTTGTGGTGGGATAATTTCATTTCTTGTCTTTGAGTTTTCTGCATAACCTTTTTTCATTAGAAATCCCTTCCTCATATGTCATATACCTGCAACATTTTTCATTGCCATCCATGTGTGTGGCATTTTTCGTTCATGGTCTTGTCAAACTGTAACTTTCATAGGTGTATCTCACATTTTGAATACAAGTTTTCTGGTCACTTAGCAGTTGTGCAAAGGCCACAGAATTCTTTTTGTTGACATCAACAGGCTATAGAAGAAGGTCTTGCTGTATTTCTTATTCATTCTATGTTGTTTATGTGTCATAAAAGGCAAGTTTCTGTAGTAAAGAACATGTTTCCCTCAATGTATTTCTTGGCTGAGTCTTTGAAAGTTAATACATCCTAACAGGAAGAGGGAGATTTGGGAAGCAGAGATGATATATATTATTTCAGATTAAAAAATCAAATTCTCAGTTGTAGTTATCTCAAAAAGAACCATGGGGTCACTCCTGGGAACCTGAAAATATAAAAAGAACACCAGTCAAATGAATACTTGAATTTTATCCATAGATTGAAAAAGACAAGCACTAACAGAGAAGCCTAAACTGTCAGAAGTGGTTGAGTCTATGGAGATACAAGTGCAGTATATATTCACATAAAATCCAGCAGAACTGTAATTTGTTTCCAGAGAAACTGAAAGGCAGGCAGATGCAGAAAGAAGGCCTCATCATGGTCTATATTTCAGTAAAGCTTAACTATTTAGACTTAGTAGTGGGCAAAGGACATTTGAGATTTGTAATTTTTTTTTCCTTCAGTAAGGAAACAGTTTTAGTAAAATTGATTTAAATCTTTTTATTATTCCCAAGAGTAATTAAAGATGTATAAAACCCGGAAATTTACTTTTCCATGGGCATATATATATATAACAGTATGATATTTAGGCAGAGCTGTAGCAAATAATATATCTTTTGAAATCCCCATTTTTTTCAATTGCTATGTTAAGAATCTGCACCTAAAGCATATCTGTGCTTCATTTCAGCATATCCCAAAATATTTATACATTGACCATTATCTATAAAGGTAATAACAATTGCTATATCTCTACTATGCTAGTAGCTGGCAAAATTTGGGAGGATTTGAGGTATAGTAACTGTCAAAACATTATGTGCAAGTGTCTGACTAAAAGTGTAGAAATAAAGGAGGAGGATTGAGAGATGACACACTGCACAAAAGGAAAAAAATAATGGTTAGAGAGAAAAACAAAATTGAAAAGGATTGAGGGGAAATTGCTATATTTGAAGAACTATTGATAGGAAAAATTGCTGTCCAGTGCTGACATAGAAACTGAAACTGTCAGCCTTTATCACAGAAAAAACAGAGAAGTGCCTTGATATGTGCATGACTATGTAAAAAAGTGGCCCAGTATTGAAATTAGCTGCATAAACCATCTTCAGAAAGGAACAGGCAGTATTGTTATCGAAGTATTTTCATTTCCGCATGACCTTATCACTCTAGAAGGACATACATATATATATTATCTCCTTATGAAATAAGAATAAATAAGTAGACTTATAACTAGCAGCAATCAGATTGTTATTAAAAAACTTTATTGCTAATTTTTTTTTTTCTTATTGTGAGAGAATAGCAACAACACCTCCCACACTTTTTAGGTACATCCTAATGATCACTCTGTAAATGACCTTTTTTGAATTGTCCCTGAATGGAGATGTTTTTAAGCAGGAGGTGGATGATTGTTCTGCAGACATGCTGATGATGAGACAGATATGAAGGCAGCTGAATGCAGAACACGCCTAAACCATTCATAGAAATAAAGTCCAGTTTTTATATAGAACAAAGTGCATGACCAGGTGGGAGATATTTCAGATTCACATTGTTTTTCCCCATTTCAGTTTTCAATTCCTCTGTAATTCTTTTCATTACCTGACTACATTTCATTGTAGCTTGTTGTTTTATTTTTTAATTCTTAGGATAAATCAACACCCTAGTAGCCTGAATGGTTGCTGTTTCTGAACATTTTTGGTGCCACAGAGCCTATCCAAACTAATAAATTAAACATGGCTCTCATTCATTTCAAGCACAAAGGCCATCTGGCATGAAGTAGCTTATTTCTTTGCCTTCTTATCTTCCAGAGTCACCACATGTGAATCAATCCTTTAAGAGTAGTCCCTGCCCTTACTAATTCCCAGCACATGCACGTGAATTATCCACAAGACCACTGGTTGCTCCAGGTCAAAACTGTACCAAGAGTGCCATAAGAGCATAGTGGCATAAAAGAATCACGGTCGAGTGTTCAAAATTCCTATATATGCTGCCTAATTACCTAGCGTGGAAGTGGTTTTCTCCACTTTACAAAGGAGAAGATAGATAAAATGCATAAGAGCTTACTTCTGCTTTCCTGTCCTGAAGGCATAATTTAACAGTAAAAATAAAGTAATAAATCCTTCCTGTCCAAACCATCTTTCCAACTCACCTATGCCTAGGCCAGAATTTTGAGAATATTAAAGAAACCTCACCTTAAATCTCAAGATGGAGTTGATCTTCTCCTGCATACCATAACTGAAATTGAGCAATCAGCAGTTCTTCTCAATAGCCAGTATCTATTTTCTCAGATACCTTGGATTTTCACAAGTCCATTATTCAAAGAATGTTGCATGTTTTCTATTGCTGCAATAGCTTTGAACCCTTAAGATGTTGACAAATTATGGTAATCAAGAAAAATAAGGAATTTTCACTGTCTTACAGACAGGAAAAAACAAGGGAAGATGAAGTCAACTATTTAATTAAGTTGATAAAATAAATTAATAAAGCTAATTAACTTTCCTATGTTTTCCAGGCAAAATTGAAAAATGAAATCAGTTCCTTAATTTCTAGGCTCATGATTTAACCATTTTGTCTTCTCATCTGTGTAATCTGGGTTTAAAAGGCATAAGCAGAAGCTTTTAGTGACTCACTCGCTAATACCAGCATGTACATCACTAATGTGTTCACAGGGTTCATAAAGACTTGATTTTGAGAGAAACAACAACCAAAAACTAGACAAAATTGAGGTCAAATCTGTAAACTAGTATTTTAAATGCAATTCTTTATGCTGGTTCACATCAAGTATTACAGGTCTTTGGTATTATATATAAATTCAAAGCTGTACACAATCTTCTTGCAGTCATCATTTATATAGACAAGTAGCTAAAGTGATGTCAGTGCGAACCAGAAAGAAAATCATATAAACAAAATAAAAAACTGAAATAAGTTCATCTTAGGCTCTGGTAATTCTGTTTACTTTCATATCTGACTTTTCCAGACCATTTATGCAAGGCAAAATTCTAGTTTGCGGAAGAAAAGATTTTTGGCCTCTAATATATCTTTCAAAGAACACAGAGAATAAATCAGATACATCAGTAAGAAATAAATGCGAGAAGTATACTCCTTTTCATGTATCTTTCCAGAGCATGCTCTTCTATTGTGATTTAGAGGGAGAAAAAATGTCAAATCCTTTAGGTAATTTTAAAAATATAGGTCACATACAACCTGAACAGTTGGAAAAAAATCAGAAAAAAGTCATTTAGACAAGCAACTTCACAAAAATATGACCTAAAAGACTTTTTAAAGAAACTGACATGTCTAACACAAATTATCAAAATCATCTGATAGTTCCATGATGCATACATTTTGAATACATTCACTGTTTTATTGGAAAGGCATTGTGAACATATTCCTAAAAGGAAATTAAATTTTATGCCTGTATATTGTTGGTGATTCATTAATCTCTAATCTATTTGAAAAAGGTCTCCTGAACCCCTGTTTCTCAGTGTTGTACCTTAAAATGAAGGTACACACACAAATACATCTAAAGCAAAACCTGAGTTACTCCATGTGAGTTGATGTGTCCTTTTCAGTGAGTACTGCTAGGAGGGGAGTTTTAGGTCAGATTGTTTCTCCCAGTCGCTGTGTGAATTTGACCTGCTCAGGGATTTTCTGATCTCTTTATAGAGGTCTCGCCCTCTACTGAATAAAAGAACTTCTTAGTATTTCTTTTTTTATTTCCTATTATACAAAGGAACTTATTCAATTGTGATCTAGATTTCTTCCAGCTCTTCAGGCACCTAAAGAATGAGTATCTAATTCCTAGCTACTAGACCAAACTGTATCTTCTGTACTGCACAATGCCTTTCTCCACAGAGACGTTCTGCAGGTAGGGGTGATACTGAATTGGAAATTCATGAAAATTCAAATAGATGTCGTCATATATTTTCTCTATTAAATATTAAGTATTTTTCTATTAAATTCATAGGTAGGGACTACAAATGTGTGATCAGGGTACTGCATTTTTGTTGTCTTCTTAATTCCAAACTGTGTTTATAGCTTGTCCAGTTTATATACTACTTGTAAATAGGTAAAACAAAGTTCATCTTGCAGCTACTCCTATGTAACTAGGAAATCATTGGGGGAATATCTTTGGTTTTGACAGAGGTCTCCTGAAACTACTACTGCATTTAATAGTTCCTAAGAATAAAGAAGAAATCATGCAAATTTTTTACACTGACAATATGAAAAGACTTCACTTCTTGCTGTGTTGGTTATAAACAAAAGAAATGCCAAGGATTATACAAACTGCAAAGCAAGTGCCCAATGCAAATAATTTGAAGGGTCCATTGAGGGCTGTGAAGATGATCAGAAGGCTGGAGCATGTCTCGTATGAAGACAGGCTGAGACAATTGAGCTTTTACAACCTGGAGAAAAGAATGCTCTGGAATGACCTAATTGTGGCCTTCCAGTACTTGAAGGGAGCTTACAAGAAAACTGGACTTTTGAAAGCAGCATGTAGTGACAGGACAAGGGGGAATGGATTCAAACTGAAAGAGAGTAGATTTGGATTGGAAATGAGGCAGAAATTCTTTACAGTGAGGGTGCTGAGGCCCTGGCACAGGTTGCTCAGAGCAGTTGTGGGTGCCTCATCCCTGGAAGTGTTCAAGACAAAGCTGGAAGAGACTTTGAGCAATCTGGTCTAGTGGAAGGTGTCTCTGCATCTGTCAGGGAGCTTGGAACTAGATGATCTTTAAAGTTCCTTCCCACCCAAGTCATTCTATGATTCTATGATTCTATGATTCTATGATTTATTCCTGAAGATTCAAGACAACTCGTCTTGTTCTTAAACATGGTCCTATGTTGTCATTCTCCACCACCCTGATTTGTAACATAGATTTTTTTCAGTAGTTAACTGTTTCTGCCGCTCATCTTAAGTGAAAAAGGATAAAATAATTATACTTTTGACTCACTAGCTATGCTACTTTTCACATATTTGCTATTTTGCAGGAGGTTTCAGCAAAAAGTAAAAGAGAACATTATCTGCTTTGTATTAACTAGTGTCTCTGCTTTGTCAGTCATTGAATTTGCAAGTAAATTTGTTTATAAAATGCATCTAGTGACTGATGAAGATTATCTATAAAGAAAAGACAGTAGCAGAAAACATGGTGTATATTGTTGTTTAACATTTCTTTTGCACAAAAGTATTTGCTGCCTGCAGACCCTTTTGTAGTTAAAGAAATGCTTTTCACAGCATAGCCAAATAGTTGAATGCTAGCTGTGCATGTTTCACGGCTATACTTAACAGTGACTTTGTATGGCTTTCAGCACAATTTTGGTTTTTTTCATATCTTGCTCAGTTTCTCCGTCCTCTAAATTGGTATGCTATGCTTGCCTCCTTAATATTTTGAAATTCAAACAATGGCTAGGCAATAAATATCGATTTTCTGCATTTAGTTGTGGAAAACAGAATTCAATTTTAATCATTGGAAGTGTTTTCCACAGGCTTTATGAAAAGTGATCTCAGAAAACTTTTCATCCTTAATAACAGGTACAACTTCACTTCTTTTTTTTTTTTCCATCTATGCTCTGATAAACATAATCAAGCTTTTTGATTCCGTAACCCATGAAAAGTAATGGATCAAAGTCTGATATAAATTGATAAGCTGGTTATGTTTGTTTCTTAGTTCAAGTCAGAAATAAATGGAAGTCAAGGGCTTTTGCGAGTCACAGTATTGAGATCACAGGTTTATGATAGCTTACGAGACTGGTGATGACAACAAACATAACGCTTTTCTTCTAAAATTATTTGTAGGTAACCCACTATTAACCAGCAAAGTCAATGTTATAATAAATGTTTTGGATGTCAACGAGTTTCCTCCTGAAATTTCAGTTCCATATGAGACATCTGTATGTGAAAATGCCAAGCCAGGACAGGTATTTCAAATTTGTAATACTTGATCTTTTGCTTTTTCTTTCCTTGTTATTTATAGCAGTAGAAATTTCTGGGTTTAAAAATTACATCATGGTCAGAATTCTTCTGTAAACAAAATGTCTGTGTTGGAAATGCATATTGAAATTCTGTTTGTTGACTTTTATGGTCTATTTAGAGCCTATTTTTTTTTTTATTTTCTCCAATTATATGGACCTGAGCCACCCTTTACTGTGCATTTTATAGCTATGAGAGGAGAAAGAATCCCTTTCTTAAAGGGTTGTAACTGTGACAGAAGTAGCAGCAGATAAAGTGAAGCATAACCATGCAACTGAAAGCCATCGCTAGAATTTTAATATAAACAATAGATATTAAATGCGATAAATCTTTCTGATTTTCATCAGATATGTCAAAGCAAGACCTCTGAGTTCTCTGGTGGTTATAGAATTCAGAGTTGCCTCCAATGTCCAGTGTACTGAGGGAATGAAAGTAATCCAGCAAAATTTCACTTTCAACAGTTTTATTTGATGTTCACTTTGCACTTCTACAAACCTGCTTCTTTTAGAAGAGTGAACTTACTTCAGAATTAATCTGGTTTCAGGTTATACAGACCATCACTGCAGCAGATAAAGATTTGTCACCAGCTGGGCAAAGGTTTTCCTTCAAACTGTCATCTGAGGCTTCCAACAAACCAAACTTCACAGTCCATGACTACAGAAGTAAGTTGGTTACCCACATCTCTCTTTCAGAGCAGCAGACTGTAGTTACAATGACAAAAATATTTACTTTCAATTACAGTTGTGTCTACAGAGCTAACATTTTTCTTTGACATTTCTAATTGCTAAACTCTCTAGGATTTATATTAATATAAATTCAGGTCTTGCACCTTTTCTTATTTTTAGGGGCAGGAATTGTCAGAACACCAAAGGCTGAGATTTCCCTACAGGCCTTCAAAAACACTGCTACCTGTTTTATTTTCTTCCTTTTATCATTCAGTATCTCAGGAAGAATCCATATGCCAATGCAGGTATACCTTTAAACAAGGCACTATTGCTGTCTTGTTTAAATACTATGACTTTGCTAACCATTTCAAAGTACCCAGATATTGTGATTTCTTGAGAATACATAGTCCTGCAGAAGAGTGAGTTCTAAATATGGACAGTGCTCCTGAAGTACAACACCCTTAATAACTTGGGGATTTATATAACTGACATCCCTGATTTTTCTTCGAATTTTTGTCATAACTGAAAATCTTTTTGTTTTCCTTATTAACTTTAACTCTTTTGTTAGATGGCAAAGAAAAAAACAAGACAAAAAAATTGGTCTTGTTTTCTACTGTAAGCATCTTCAAGGATGTAGTCTTATGAACAGACACAGCTAAAACAAAATAAACTGCAGTAAATTTTCACCACTAACTACTTTAATCAAATAAGAAAGAAAGAAGTATTTGAACTATTAGATGACCTTTAAATTACTGTGATAAGCTTTTAATATAAAAGGACTTATATTTCAAAGAAAGAATACCTAAAGCCATCTAACAAAGATCAAAAACATTCATCTGTGCAGGTCATAAGTATGACTATATAAAGAAGTATATAATTCTTAATTTTTAAAATTGCTGTCTTCAATTTAAATCTGAGTTACATCTGTTATAAGGTAAAGGTTTCTTTCTTGTAAATTAAGTGACCCAAGCCCTTAAAAGAACTAGAAATTAATAATACACCAGATGAAATAAAATTGTGAAAGCTTTTTTTTTAAGTATATTTAAATTATGTATATGACCCAGATAATTTTTGAAGCCATGTACTATTGATATTGTTATGTAACAGAAAACTAAAGCCAACAACATAAGCTAACAACCATTAATCCTGAAGAAACTTCAGGAAGAAATAAATCAGGAAAAAAAAAACAAAAACCGTGCTTCTTTTCTCTTTATGTATAGCTCTCCTGTGAAGCTGATACAATGAAAATGGTTTATTCCCAAACTTAATAGATACTTTTATCTTTGTGTGTCATAGATAGATGATGAGATTGAACAGATGAGCAAGAAACTTCACTTAAGGATTTGTAAATAGAGAATATAGTGAGACTATTCATAATATTGTAGACATGAATTATAGTATCTCATAAAACCAAAACTATGTAGATACAAAGCATTTTATCAAAGGGCATTCAAACAGTTTTCTTGAGACAGACAGCTCAATGAATATGAAGGATGACTTTACAACAGATCTAAGTTCCTTTACTTCTGTTTTTGAAGATTAGAGCATTACTCTGCTCTGGAACATATTTCAAAGCCCATATAAGTAGAATCTTCACAATTATATAGTCTTAGAACATAAATACTATGTATTTCTAAATATCTTTAATTTTTTTTTAACATTTCTTTAAAATAAGAAGTTAATTTTTTTTTCCTTGTGTGTTTCCTAAAAGATCCTTTAATTTCACTGAGGTTGGGGATTTTTTTGGTGGGGTTTTTTTGCCTTTTTTTTTGTTTTGTTTTTGGTTTTGTTTCTGGTTTTGTTTCTTTTTTTGTTTTGTTTTTGGTTTTTTTTAGTTTGTTTTTTTTGTTGTTTGTTTGTTTGCTTGTTTGTTTTTCTTTTTATGTTGCTGTGGTTGGTTGGTTGGTTGTTGTTTTGTTTGGGGTTTTTTTGGTTTTTTTTCATAATTACAGACTTCTGCTTTAAATAGAAGTTCTCAGGTAATTTTAATAGATTTAATTAATCAAAAAAATCTTTAAACTTATTAAGTCTATACAGTAATTACAGCTTTAGTAAAGTGTGCTTCACATATGAGTTTGGTGAGGAAATTGTTCAAATATTAGTAGATAATTAAATTTCCCTATTTAAACCAGTAATGTTGACACTGAGATGACTTTGGATCTGTGATCTTTTAATGAAGCTTCACTACTGTATATAAACACGTGCGATATTCCAATAAAAAGTGGAAACCTCCAATATATAAACTTTTAAAAGTATTTATAAAGAATTTGAAAAAAAAGAAAGAAAAATTAAAAAAAAAAAAATAAGTATACTATTTGTTACAATATAAGGAACAAAAAAAAAACCATAAAAACCTTTTTCATTATCAACAATTTGCAGAGATATTAGAAAATCTATTCAAACAAAAATACTGTCTTGCAATATCTTCTGCCTTTTCTTTGCCAAAAAGGTGAAGGAAAGTCTATTCTGTGCACAATTTAGAGGTGTAATAACACAACCTTATTTTCACTACAGAAACCTTTTAAAAACAAGTACCATTTTCTTTTAGGTTAGAAATTGTGTTGGTAACAAGCAGGTACTTTCCGAAAGGATTTTTGTTTCCCATTTTTTGGAGACACAGTGTTCACTGTGGTACAATTAATGCTTTTACAAGTAAAGGTGGCGCTTAAAAATATTAAATAAATCAGGAAGCCCTAATCCCTGTGCTATTCTATATAACTGAAAATCATGGGTGGTCTGATACTTCAGCAGGTGTAACATTCTTGTGCTGCACCCAAGAGAAGCCAGGCCCCATACTTCAGAATATAACTTAACGAGGACTGGAGAGAGACAGAAGCTCAGGGTTGCCTTTCAGCAGAACTGAGATCAATCCACCATGTTAATAGAAGTGATACCCTGGCAGAGCTGTCCTGCTTCCAAAGGGACTGCAGATCTCCCTCCTCCTGCTTTGCTAGCTTCACTCTGCTCTCTAGAGGGCAACTTCCATGTGGAGCACACTCCACTGATCATGTAAGATTTCATTTTCTCACACATATCCTATAAATTAATTTATTGCCAAGAGACTGAAGAACCAGAAAATATCTCAGCTTCTCTAGGGTCTTCTGTGTAGAGTTCAAACACCTGCCTGTGTTTGTATTATCAAAAGAACTTTTAACAATTGAAAGCGGTCATAAAAGAGCAAGAAAAAGTGTTCAAAATCAAAGAGGTTGATCTGATTGATTCTCCTCAAAGGAGGATGAAAAGTCATTTAGTTGCATTGTAAGCTATTAAAGTCATCTTCAGTGTTTCAATTAGAAGAAAAAAATAAAAGCATATAAATAATTCTAGTAATAAAGATTTGGAAAAATAATAGAAATAAGATTAAATGTAATGTCTTCAAATTAGTTCTTAAACTTTTTATACAGTGCAGGTGATTAATCATACAGAGAAAGAAAAAACTGAAGATGGAAAGTGGTTTGATTCAAACTATTCTAAAACATTTTTCCTTTTCAAAACTAAGTGTAACTGGACTTGACCTGTCCATAATTGAGTTCGATAAAAAGGAGGTGTCTGAAGCATTTGTTTTTAGCTATGCGCCTTCTCAATAGTGTCTAATCATAACATATTTAATTTTGGATATTTAGGGTTCCTTCTGATTGTCCTTAATCAGAACTCCATACCAGTATTTGAGTGTGAAATTCCTTCTACCTCATAACAAACTTCCAAGGCATGAAAACTATCATGGGACATCTCATAAAAAATATAATAGGGAATATGGGTGAGATGGAAAATGATAATTGCAGCAGGTTACTTTCATTTAATTCTATCATCTCATTAATTCCCTGCCAAATTAATTTTGGTTCTGCTTTTAATGTAATTCTTTTAATCTTTCTGTCATTTCCTTGCTACTTTGTTTGATTCAGGAAAATCAGCAGTAACTAACTGGGAAGAAATTACAAAGTCTAGAAGTGGACTAATCAGTCTTGACTAGTACTAATTTTCAAGTATTCAGTTAATTTCTCTAGCTATTTTTAATGGGGCAGGAAAGCTAAAATGACTGCATATTGTCCAGGTATATTACTTTGTATTTTAAAGGAAATTAATTTATTGAAAGAGACGTGATTCTAAATTCATATGCAATCAAAATCATTTGGACCACAGGCTTGGGATGTAAGGAGATAAGGAGAAAAAAAACTGAAAAGTTTTCAGAATCATACTTGTAATGTTTTGATTGGGGCTTTTTTAGTTATTTTTATCTTCTTTGAAATTTCAGCTGTTAAAAGGTTTACAAGTAAAGGAATATTGTTTAAGGCTCTGCTAAAGAAAATGTATCAGTAAGAATTCAATACCTTCTGTAATGGCAAAGCAAGGCAATTACATAGTGCATGTCATTCACCGAGTTTCAAATATGAAATACTAGTCTAATACTGAAGGTGGTACAAGCTACAGTATGCAATGAAGTACACATTAAAAATCTGCTAATGACTGTCATGTTTTACAGACAACACAGCTGGGATTGAAACCAGGAGAAATGGCTACAGCAGAAGGCAGCAAGAGTTGTACTTTCTTCCAGTAGTAATAGAAGACAGCAGTTACCCTGTCCAGAGCAGCACAAACACTTTGACTATCCGTGTTTGCAGATGTGATTCTGATGGCACCATCCAGTCCTGCAACGTGGAAGCAATCTTCTTACCAGTTGGCCTCAGCACAGGAGCTCTGATTGCAATCTTGTTGTGTATTGTTATACTTCTAGGTTAGTTCTGATGAAACCCTGCAAAACGATTTACTGTGATTACTCACTAACTTCACCTACTTTTTAACAAAAGCCATGGAAAATGTGTGGCAGTTTATTTCTAGAATATCCCAAAGCACTGATCATGAATCTGCTAATCCATGCAATACCTCTTACGGAATTAAGAGAAGCAGTTTGCAGTGGAACCCAAATCATAATTTTGTCTCAGAAATTATTTTAAATATCTTTCTTGAATGATTAAATTTTAGATTATTACTAAGGTAGACAAGTCCTACTGACAGTAACAGCAGTAAGGGCAGTAAGAGCCTTTATTTAATTCTTCATGCCTACTTAAGCAAAAGGATACTGAAGAAATGGAAGAGGAGAAAATAACAGTAACATAGACTGTTACTGGCCACATCCATATAAAGCTTCACAGGAAGATTTTTTTTTTTTTATTTCAGGCAGGCATGGATTTCATAAAGTGTCATTGCTATTTGTTCTACCTTATATTTATATATTGTGTTATATACAGCATATCCAAAGTGTATCTTACCTGTAATATAGCCTTAAGTAATATAAACCAAATTTTACAGCATATACAGGCACAATGTGGGCTTCAGAAATCAGACTGAGTCTTAAAGATGCTGGCGTATGCCTCATTTTGATACTAGTGGCTTCCAAGGTCCCATGGTAGTCTAATGCATACTCAAAAATAGCTCCTGACACACAATACATGTAGATACCTCATTGCATTTGGTTGATGCAGGCGCCACTTAAATAAGTTACTAAAGGCTCAGAATTATATAAATAGCTTCTGAGTAAGAGTGGGTAAAAGTCAGAATTTCTGCTGTGAGTCAAAAAATTATGTTGTGAGAAAAAATTATTTTTCAAATCAGAAGAATGGAAAATGGTCACACTTCCAGTGGAGTAGCAGTTAAATTCATAAATACACTCATTCTGAAAAATTTAAAACAAAACTAAAAAAAAAAACAACTAAACAAAATAACTTACTTCATTTTTTATTTTTTTTAATCAAGAAGAATGCTCTCTCCTTTGCCACAATTCCAGTTAGAGCAAGATGGATACCCCACAACTCTGTGCAACATATTCTACTGCTTGACATCCTGGTGATATAGAAGCCTTTTTTTCTTACATTTTAATAGAATTTTCTGCATTTCAGTTTCATTGTCTCATTTTCAGCCCATTGTCTCTTGTCCTGTGACAGGTCACACCTCAGAAAAGCCTGGCTCTATCTTTACTTCCATCCCTCAGGTACTTATTCATGTTGATAAGATCTGCCTGCACCTTCTCCAGAATGAACAGACCTGGCTCTCTCAGCCTCTTCTTGTATAGCAGATGTTCCCATCCCCTAACAATCTTTGTGGTTGCACACTGCAGCCACTTCATATCTGTCTTGTAATGAGGAGCCCAGAACTGGGCCCAGAACTCCAAGTGTGCATAAGCAGAGCTGAGCAGAGCTGAGCAATGACTATCTCACTAGACCTGCTAGCAACGTTTCTCCTAATGCAGTCCCAAATGCTGTTGATCTTCTTTGACACAAGGGCACATTGGTGACTCATGGTGAACTTCTTGTCCACCAGAATCACAAGTCTCATTTATCAAGCTGCTTTCTGGTCAGCTGGCCAACAGCATCTACAGTATGCAGTTACTTCTCTCTGTGTGTGGGACTTAGAATTTCTGTTTGTTGAACATCCTGGAGTTCCTTTTGGCCCACTCCCTCAGCCTGATGAGATCCCTTTGAACAATGGCACAATCACTCTTTTTTATTGCCTGAAAACTTGCTGAGGATGCACTCTATCCCACCATTCAGGCTATTTACAAAAATATTAAACAAAAGCAATCCCAGTACCAAATCCTGTGGTACTTTATTAGTGACTGGCCTCCATCTGGCCTTTGAAATGTTGCTCACAACCTTTATGGTATGGCAGTTTGGCAGCTTTGCAATCCACCTCACCATCTGCTTGTATAGTTCACTCTTTCTCAGGTTTTCTGAGAAGATTCTTATGAAAGATAATATTAAAAGCTTTGCTAAAGTTAGGTTAAAATTATTGCACTTTTCTCCATCAGCCAGTCACCTTATTGTAGAAGGCTATCAAGTGAGTTAAATGCAATTTCACCTTCATAAATGTGTAGCAGTATTTGTCTAGCAGTAGCATACCTGCTACTCTTATGTCCCTTCTTAGTTTCCAGAATTATTTTCTCCATCACTTTCCTAAAAATCAAGGTGAGACTGACTGGCTGCTAGCTCCCTAGCTCATTCTTCTTGCTCTACTTGAAGATAGGTGCGACACTTGCTCCAGTTTTCAGAAACCTCTCCCAGTTATCATGACCTTTCAAAAATTATCACAAATAGCCTCACCTCACCTCATAGCAGCCACCTTCCTCATCATTCATGTATGTGTCTCACCCTATCCCATGTAATTGTGTGTCCAGTTTGTTCAAGTATTTCCTAACCTAATCCTCTTCCACCATGGATAAGTCTTTCTTATTCCAGACTTTCCCTCTGGTCTCAGAGACATGGAATTACTGAAGGACAACTTTACAAAAAAATGCAGAGTCAAAGAAGCTGCTGACTTAGGCTGTCCTTTTCCATGTCATTTGGCAACAGCTCTCCTGCCCCATTCAGCAGTGGGACCACCTTTACTCCACTTTTTCTACCTTTTTTTTCTGTCTCACTTGTACAAGCTCTTCTTGCTGCCCTTTGTGTCCCTCCTGAGACAGCACCATGCTGGCTTTGTCTTTCCTAACTGCATTCCTGCATGTTCAGACTGTCACTGTATATTTCTCCTGGCTCACCTGTCGCTGTTTACAACTCTTAGATGCCTCTTTTTCTGTCACTGAGTTTAGTCAAGAGCTTCTTATTAATCAATTCATGCCTCCTGCTGTCTTTTCTTGATTTCCTGCTCCTTCAGGTTGGACCACTGTTGAGTTTGGAGGACATGATACTTGAAAATCAACCAGCTCTCATGGACTCCTCTCCAGAACCTTGTAACACGTAATTTTTTGAATCAGATCCCTGGAGAAGTCAAAGTGCACTGTCTAAAAAGCTAGAGTAGGATTTTTTTTTTCTGCATTTCAAAAATTCCAAGTTTGAAAATATTTACTATTCAATATTCCAATTTTTTTTTCTGTAACACTCTGTGGGCTGGGTTTTTGGTTTAGTGTTTTTATTCTTGTCCTCAAAGTGTAAATTTAGGCTTCTTTTCTCTATTTTTCAATGGAAAATATTTTTTTAAAAATCAAATCTCTGTCTCTCTGAACTAAAAACCTGAAGTCCTTATCAATTCTATTTGTTTTCAAAGCAGGCCAGCAGAAAAATTATTTGATACTTTCTCCAGTTTTACTTAGGAAAGTTAGACTCATATGTCAAAGAGCAGATAATTTTTCATTGGTTAGAGCACTGCTAAGCACTGCTCTTTTCTGAGCACAAAAGTCCCTTTGATTGCTTGTGGCTTTCAAAGAAAGATATAATGATGTGTCATAAGAGTACTAAATTATTTCTGTGCATGTCTTAACTTCAGTTGTCTCTCGTTACAGTCATTGTGGTACTGTATGTGGCACTACGGAGGCAGAAGAAAAAGGACACCCTGATGACCTCTAAAGAAGACATCAGAGATAATGTTATCCATTATGACGATGAAGGAGGTGGAGAAGAGGACACCCAGGCTTTTGACATAGGAGCCCTGAGGAATCCCAAAGTGATTGAAGATAACAAAATACGCAGGGACATAAAACCAGACACCTTGCGTTTTACGCGCCACAGACCACCAGCAGAAGATAACACAGACATAAGAGATTTCATTAATCAAAGGCTGAAGGAAAATGATGTAGATCCATCTGCACCCCCTTATGACTCCTTGGCAACCTATGCTTATGAGGGAAACGGATCTGTTGCAGAGTCTCTCAGCTCTATAGACTCCCTCACTACAGAGGCAGATCAGGATTATGACTATCTGAGTGACTGGGGACCTCGCTTTAAGATCTTGGCAGACATGTTTGGAGAAGAAAGTTATAACCCTGACAAAGTCACTTAAGTACAACTATAACAGTGAAACAAAAAGAAAAGCAAACCGACAACAAATTTAAAAGATAAACCTAAGCTTTATATAAGACACAATTACTTTGATTATAAAAGACAGCAATTGTTTCCAGCAAGTTACTACATTTATCATACCGTCAGTTTTGGTTTGATTTGTGAAAGAATGATAAATCCTGTAACATACACAGGTTTTTGTTGTTGTTATTTTGTTACTCTGGAATTACACTGAGACAAGCTCAGGCCTACAAGGTGCAGTTTACTGACCTGATTTAGAAAGAAGGTAGCTTTCTGGCATCATGGTGGAAGAGTGGTAGCTTTTTCGTAATTCCACTAAAGTGCCTATTGAAACTTTTATCATTTAAGTGGTAAACTGTCTGCTGTGATGGTGTTACAAAACTGAATGGTAAATCAAATACGAACTTTAAGACAAGAAGCAATAGCAACATGCTGACTTCTCTTAGAAAAAAAATGAGATCACTTCCTGGAGTATCTAATGATTAGAACTGTGGGGGAGGAGGGGGGTGTGTACATTGTGTTTGGGGGTTATGTTTGTTGTCCTTTTTTTAAAGAAAACAGTATGTTGAGACATCATATTTCCTCTTTCAAAGTTTCACTGAAAATTTAAATTTAAACTGCTATTGCTCACTCTGAAGATGTAAAGCCCAAATTAAAAAGGAAAAGATCTTAGCATACACCAATGAATATTTTCAATGTTCATACAAATACTACATTTTTCCAAAATAATAAAAATATGAAAGCAGCTATTTCTTGATGTGAAGGAAATTTCCCTTGTCTCTCCCTCTTCTTTTGAAATGAGACTATTATTAGAATGTAATAATGGAGAGGGTTTTCAACTTTTCCATTGTAGATATCACTAAAGAAGTACATGTAAAGAACTCCACACCACTTTTCTTTGCAGTTAAATTACTACTCTGTAGGCACCATAAGCAAATATATTATAAATATAGTTATTTTTCCATTGATCATCTGCTGCAGTTCAGAATTTCACTACCACACCCACAGGAAATATTTTAGAAAACCTTATGAGGTTGGACACTTTCCTAATTTTGTTCTTGACAAAATTTAAACAGAAGCGGAATAAATATATAAACCAGCACTTTTTTCCACTCACTATGTACATACTCATGCCTAAATGTAGCTGTGCAGATGACAGAAGTTCAGATATGCACAAGGCAGTATGTCTTGGAAGATGTCTTGCAAAACTATTTTATATGACTTTTTTCTGATGATCTAAGGCATAGACATTTTGTAAGACAATGGTTTATGGCCCCCAAAGTGCATATATCCTTATCCTTATCCTTCCAAAGTCTCTGCAGTGCTATATAATCTGTTTGAGCTCTACTCATGATTAATGGCACTGCCAAGGTCAGCCTGAGTCCTTCTTGAACCAGAAGTCTTTTATTCACCTCAGGTCTATAGCTTACCTCTTGTATAGTTAAAGAATTAATAACTATCAGATATACTTAGCTCACAAGTCCGATATTAATGTGCACAAGTTTCCCTTTAACCTCTGGGGGAAATGTAAAGATTTATCAGCGTTACATAAATTAATCTCTCAATGAGACTTTGAAAGGTTCATATTGTAAATGAGTTTGGGATCATTCAGTACAATTGGACAGGGCTGCATCAAAAGCTCAATTGGTGTAACTTCTACCAGCAGCATGCTGAGAAAGAGACACAGCATATGGGAACATGGAAATTTTGTGGTTTTTATTGTTTTCAGGAAAGGTATTCTACATTCCCTAAAGAAAGACTAAACCAATAAAAGCTCTCCTCACAGGACAGGGAAGTACATGAAGTGATGGAATACATTTGACAGCATAGAAATTTTTGTGTAGAAGATTATGTTTTAAATTTGCACACATCTAGACAGTATATCAAAAGCAACTTGATACTGCACAGTGGGCCTAAAACAGAGCACTGGAAAAAAAAATCATATTATCTACCAGTCACAACTGAGACTTGATTCACACAAGAGTAAGTAACACCTTACTTAGCAAAGCTTCCTCATGTAGCATGTTCATGGTAATGCTTCCTACCCTGTTGCTACAACTAAAACAAGCATCTGAGTCTAGTCATTCTCAGATGTGCAGTCCTGTAGCCAAACTCTGTCCTTAGCAACTGTGTTAGTCCTTTATATGCCTTTCACTAGTAAAATCAACATAAGTGAGGGCAGTATTTGACTTTTTGATACCGTGGAAAACATGGCAGTGTTTGACTTTTCTCCCCAGGAAATTCTCTGTATTTGTAGCACATACTGGCTGAACATTAGTTGTCTTGAATACATAGGCATTTGTTCTAAGCTGGACAGTCTGTATGTGAGCCTGACTTCCAAAATGGGTAGACAGAAAATGTGAACTTTAACATGCTGCTACACACAACATGTATGTGACATTGTATGTACGGCTGTATGTTAAATTAATACCAAACTGAATATCAAGTGTATATTTTTTACATTTAAAATATTTGTAGCTGAGATGTTGCTATCACATAATTAATACTCATCCAGGAAAATTTTAGAAAAAAACGATAATAATATGTAATTACTAACAAAATTGTCCTAAAAATATATAATTAAAATATTTTAAGACCATTTTTGAAGAGTGGTCAAACAATTTTAACATAATTGAGGTATTTTTTTTGTAAACAGTTCTGTAGAACTAAGGAAAGGAATTGCTTTTCATTTATTCACAACCTGGGATTCAGGAAATTTATGCTTAATTTCATATTCTTTCAATCCCTTTCTAGAAGATGCTTGTCAGGTTTTTAATATCTTATTTTTTAAAAGATAATTAGAGAAATATGAAATTTACAAGAATTAAAATGTCAAGGAATCTGAGATGACATGAAATCAGTTAGGATTAGGGAGCCCCAGTGCACATGTAAAATGTATCAGTTAATTACTTCTGGTTTTACACACTATATCTTAAAAAAAACCCCAAAACTCTACAAACCCTTGCACAGTGAAGATGTTAAAGTGGATGTTTCTCTTTCCGCAAAAACTTCAAATGCTATCAGAGTGCCAAGAAGCTAAGAAAATGTATAAAAGGCACAGAATTGAGAATGTTCTAATTTTAGTTTCCAAAAATAGGGTACTAGTGCATACACATTTAACATCATCTCAAATGTCCCAACAGTGCACTCCCTGCAAATCATATAATTCTGTAAAACACTTTCTGCATATGAACTAACTGAAATACTTCACTGGCACAAACAGTTCCATTTTTTAAATTAAATATTTATGACATACACTGTTGGTGCTGGAATAAAGAGATAAGTGTAATGCACTCAGCTACGAGTGGAAGTACCTAAGGAAAGTCAACTATTAACCTTAGGTCATAGAGATACAGAATTGAAGGCAAATGTATAACAGAACACCAGAAAGGAATTTTAGGGGAGAAGGAAGAAATCTTACCCTCCGTTTCAAGAAAACTGAAAATGTCAATACTTAGGGAAGTTCATACAATTTCTCTGTGGAGTCCTAATATAAAAGTTTGTTGACATTTGGATTTAAGACCTCTAGAACAAAAATCTGAAATTACTGCTATTCTCATAACACAGATCTGCAAAAATGACAGTGAGTCAAAGAGCCAGGATTTGGAAAGCAATGGCAGTAGATTATGTCTCCTGCACAAAGATATAGTTGAATATTTTATACTTTCATGATATTTACTTATTTTATATATTGGCCAAATTTCACTGTTCAAAATACAATCACAGATACTGAGAATTTACTCTAGGTTTTGGAAGCAGAATTCATTATGAAGCAAAGACCAATAAATGACTCTAATAATATTGTTCTAGACATTACCTTCAAAATATTTTTGCCTTAACAGTAAGATTTCTATATCCACATAAACACAGCTTATCCTTTGCACAGCTAAAAATTTGGTTTTGCAGATGCTACATTTTTACTAGGCTTACCTCCATTATTGATATGAGTTATTAAGACTGTGTAATAAGTCACTGGGTTAAAGGCACTTAATATTACATTAATGATTGCATTTTACTTGTTGAGGTTTGAGGTTGTACTGTTTTTGCACTTATATTATTACTTTTATTATTATGATTGTTATTAGCATAGACATTCAAATTCTGTGTGTATAAAAACATATGTGAGCTTTGAAAAACTTCATGAAAGCAAATAATGAAATGACTCTCAATAATAACTCTACTGAAATGACATTTAAGTGTGAATGAAAATCAAATTTTATATTATACTCATTCACAACCTTTTTGTAATGGAAAATCTATAATAACCTGAATCTTTTTCTGTTCTTATTTAAATCAAGAATCAGATAAGTTGTCAGAATGCCAGCAACCATTGCTATTTTGAGCAAAAGTAAGATAAGTTCCTGGAGTTTTTTGGTGGGTCTTTGGAGTTTTTTTAACCTATTTATTTAAGTCCTTGGCTTCTTTTATACAACATAATTTTCAACTAAAATCCCCATGATTTTTCTTTTTTAATCTTATTTTCAAGCCTGTTTTTCCAATCAAATTGCTTCCCAGGACTCAGGGAAATCTTATCAATGTGTATAAATACCTGGTGGATGGAAGTAAACAGGGTGGGGCAAAGTGTTTCTCAGTGGTGCACAGTGACAGAACAAGAGTTAATGGACCAATGGACTTAAATTGAAATGCATAAAATTCCATGAAAATGCAAGAAAAAAGGTCCTTTACTGTCAGGCTGTTGAACAGCTCATCATGTTGCCCAGAGAGGTTGTCATGTATCCAGCCTTGGAGATCTTCAAAACCCAACTGGATCCTTTCCTGAGAAACCTGCTGTAATTGACCCTGCTGTAAGCAGAGAGGCTGCATTAGATAATCTCCAGAGGTATCTTCCAGCCTCATCCATTCTGTGACTTGTGATAAAATCATACTCAGACTCCTTAGCTCTGGTAAGCTCAATAGCACTAGGGACCTAACTTCATAAGCAGAGTAGAATCATAGAATCACACAATGGTTTGTGTTGGAAAGGGACCTTAAAGACCAGTTAGTTCCAATCATCCTGACATGGTCTTCCAATAAATCAGATTTCTCAAATTTCCATCCATAGCAACTAAGACTTTTTCCAGTGAGACAGCTGAGGCAGGAGTGATGGAATAGGGTAGCATCCATACAGTTACTAGCAATGAGGATAGGATAGAGAGGGATAAATTATTTATTTTGATTTCCAGTACAAGAAGTAAGGGACATCACATGATGTAAGGGTGAAATTAAAAAAGACTCCGATGTGGTTCTTCATGTAATGACTACCTGAGAGAGTCATGGAGGCTCAAAGTTTACACAGGTTGAAAAAGAGGCTGGATAAAGTCCTGACAAACTGCTAGCTTGTGGGTTGCTTAATACATAGGAATCAAGTCTATCTGAATGTGATTGAATAGAGCTTGATTAGCATATGAAAGTCACATAAACTTCTTGGTGTTTTGCTGAGATCTCAGCTTCTGCCAGTGCTGAGTAAAAGTTCACTTCTCAAG